CCCCCGCAGTCTGTGCTGATTCTCTTTTCCCCCCTCCCAGGTCTGTACTGACTCTTGGCCATTGAAACTGTTCCATCATTTCTATATGATCATAACTTATCATCAATTCTATTCCCACTTTCTCCCCATACCCTTCAATCCCTTTAGTCCTAAGAATTATATCTAACTTCTTCAATGTTTTGGCCTCAACCATTTTCTATGGCAGAGAAGTCACAGCTTTACCACGCTCTGGCTGAAGAGATTTCTCCTCATCCCAGTCTTAAATAGCCTACCGGGTATGCTTAGACTGTGACCCCTGGTTCTGGACTCAGTGGTCATTGGCAACATCCTTCCTGCATTTACATAAAAACCAAAAGAACTGCAGATGCTGTAAATCAGGAACAAAAACAAAGTTGCTGGAAAAGCACAGCAGGTCGGGCAGCATCTGTGAAGGAGAAAATAGAGTTAACGTTTTGGGTCCAGTGACCCTTTCTCAGAACTGAGAGTGGCTGGGAAAACGTCAGTTTATTTGCAGAAAATAGGGAGATGGGTCGGGTAGGGAGTAAATGATAGGATAGAGTCCGAAGAGAGAGAGAAAGACAGTTGGACAGACAAAGGAGTTGCTAACGATCATGCTGGGAGGGTGAATAGTTGTTAATGGGGACTGTTAGTGACTAATAACAGGGGGTGTGTAATGGCAGGCTATGTGGTAACAAAGCCTGGTGTGTGGGGTGTGGGGGCTGGGACCTGGGAGAGTTTAGGCCCTAAAATTATTGAACTCAATATTGAGTCCGGAGGGCTGTAGGGTCCCCAAGCAGAAAATGAGGTGTTGTTCCTCCAGCTTGCGTTGGGCTTCACTGGAACACTGTAGCAAGCCAGAGACAGAGATGTTGCCCAGGGAGCAGGGTGGTGCATTGAAGTGGCAGGGCCTTTTTTGCGAGTAGAACGTAGATGTTCTGCAAAGTGGTCGCCAAGTCTACGCTTCGTTTCCCCAATGTAGAGGAGACCACATTGTGAGCAGCGAGTGCAGTAGACTAGATTCTGGGAAGTGCAGGTGAAGTGTTGCTTCACCTGGAAGGTATGTTTGGGCCCTTAGATACTGGGGAGGGAGGAGGTAAATGGGCAGGTGTTGCACCTTCGCCAGTTACAGGGAAAAGTGCAGTAGGGCTGTAGGGAGGTGTTGGGGGTGAAGGAAGCAACGCAACACAAGCTGGAGGAACAACACCTCATTTTCCGCTTGGGGACCCTACAGCCCTCCGGACTCAATATTGTGTTCAATAATTTTAGGGCCTAAACTCTCCCATGTCCCAGCCCCCCACTCCACTTCCTCTCACCTCAAGCCCCACCCCCACCTCCTACCTACCAGCCTCATCCTGCCTCCATGACCTGTCTGTCCTCCCTGGACTGACCTATTCCCATCCTAACTCCCCACCTACACTCACCTTTACTGGCTCCATCCCCGCCTCTTTGACCTGTCTGTCTCCTTTCCATCTATCTGCTCCTTTATCCATCGTCCATCCGCCTCCCCCTCTCTCTATTTATTTCAGAATCCCCTTCCCCTCTCCCATTTCTGAAGAAGGGTCCAGACTCGAAACGTCAGCCTTCCTGCTCCTATGATGCTGCTTGGCCTGCTGTGTTCATCCAGCTCTACACCTTGTTATGGGATCCAGGGTAATGTGGAAAGTTGGATCCGAAGTTGGCTTACTGACAGGAGACAGAGGGTGGTGGTAGAAGGCTGTTTATGTGACTGGATGCCGGTGTGCAGTGGCTAGCTACCACAGGGGTCAGTGCAAGGTAGCTTATTATTTGTAATAAGCATATATAAACAATGTAGCAGAAAACTTTGGGGAAACAATGAGTTTGAGGATGATGTGAAGACTGGCTGATTGGTTGACAGTGAGGAAGAAGGTTTTAGGTTACAGGATGATATAGATGGATTGATCAGATGAGCAGATCAGTGACAGAGGGAAATTAACCCTGATAAGTGTGAGGTGATGCACTTTGGAAGGAGAAACAAGACAAGGGAGTTCTCAATAAATATCAGGAGACTGGAAAGCTCAGACAAACTGAGGGATTTAGGTGGGGCAGTGATTGGGGTGGGGTGGGTGGCGGTGCTTGTCCACAGATTCTGAATGTGCAGAGCAGATTAATAAGGTAGTTAAGAAGGCATACAGGACATCTCAGTCCTGGCATAGATTATAAAAACAAGGAGATTATATCATGGCTGTACAGAACTTTGGTTAGGCCACAGCAGGAATACAGTGTGCAATTTTGGACACTAGGATGAGGTGTGACTGTCCTGGAGGGAGTGCAGAGGAGATTGACCAGAATGTTGCCTTGGATGGAACATTCCAGCTATGAAGGGAGGAAGGATAAACTCAGATAGTTTTCTTCAGAGCAGAGAAGGTTGAGCGGTACCTGATTGAGGTGTACAGGATTATGAGGGGTATGGACAGATTGATAGAAAGCAGCTGTTCTCTTTAATTGAAGAATCAATAACGAAGGGGCACAATATTAAGTGAAAGGCAGGAGGTTTATAGGGGATTTGAGGAAAACAAGGGTGATGCAGAGTTCTGAAATGCACTGCCTGAGAATGTTGCAGAGATGGAAAATTTCACAACTTTTACAAAGTACTTGGATGAATACTTTAAGTGTCATAATGTTCAAGGCAATGGACCAAGTGCTAGAAAGTAAGACTCGTGTAGATTTAGAGTAGTTTTTGTCAGTGTAGACTTGATAGGCCGAAGAGCCTGTTCTCTCCAGTATGATTTGATGATTCTAAAATGTGAGTGTCAACCTCATCCAGGCTGACATGGTCTGGAGTTGTGGTGTCCAATCCTGGCCTTGGGAGAAGAGCCTGCTTCTGGACCACCCTGTCCACCAGGTCCTTCAGGTCCCTGTTAGCAAGTGGGGCACCAATTTGACCTTCTCTGCTGTGTCCAGGACAAATGTTAGGAATCATGCACAGCAGCCCCAGACAGCCTGGGTAAAGATGGCACCAATGCCAGGGATGTCAGTCAATTCCTGGATATCCCAGCAGGCATGCAAGGCAAAGCACATCTAGAATCAAGGCAGTGGGCATCATTAAGGCACATATACAGGGGCTAACATATAAAAATGGATCAAGAATTAATGACTGACAGGAAACAGGGAGTGGGAATGAATGGGTCTTTTCCAAGTGGCAAGCAGTGACTTGTGGGGTACTGCAAGGTGGGAGGTGATGGCCTACTGATATTATCACTGGACTGTTAATCCAGAGACCCAGATAATGTTCTGGGGACTCAGATTCAAAACCCGCCACGGCAGATGGTGGAATTTGAATTCAATAAATATCTGGGATTAAGACTCTAATGATGACCGTGAATCCATTGTTGATTGTCAGAAAAACCCATCTGGGTCCTTTAGGGAAGGAAGCTGCCATCCTTGCCTGGTCTGGCCTACATGTGACTTCAGACCCACAGCAATGTGGTTGGTTCTGAACTGCCCTCTGGGTAATTAAGGATGGGCAATAAATGCTGCCTAGCCAGTGACGCCCTCATCCTGTGAATGGATAAAGAAAATAGACATCAGTGCTTAGGCCCCAGTTGTTAATGATATATATAAATGACCCAGATGAGGGAAACAAATTTGCACAAAACAGAGCAGGACTGTGAGTTGGAACTGGAATGTATGTGTGAAGCTCAATAGACCCGCATCCCATCACTTCTCTTAAAAAAAATTAATGCTTCTCTGTTCTGCTGTTGCTCTGATAATGAAAACATTCTTGATTGCAAACAAGAAAACCAGAACGATGTACATCCTTTATGCTTCAATGAATTTTGCTTGCTATTAAAATGTTGTGGGTTGTGCAGTGTGCCCTTGTCTGTCTTTGTATGGTTGAAGGTATGCCCTGAGCAAACTGATCTGCTAATCTAAACATGATTCATTCATCCACAAGCATAAGTATATAAATGACCTGGATGAGGGAAACAAATTTGATCAGAACTGTGAATTGTGAAGAGGGTGCAAGGAGGCTTAAGGGTGATTTAGGCAAGTTGAATGAGTGGACAAACACATGGCTGGTGAGGTTCAATGTAGTTAAATATGAAGTTATACACTTTGGTGTGAAAAATAGAAAGGCAGTGTTATTTAAATGGTGAAGTATGAATATACAAAAAGATTTGGCTGTCCTTGTACAACAATGAATGTAGGCAGGCAGATACAGCAAGCAATTAAGGCAGTAAATGATATGTTGGCCTTCATTGCAAGAGGATTTGAGTTCAGAAGTAGGGATAACCTTCTGTAGTTATACAGGGCCTTGGTGAAACCACACGTTGAATATTGCATGTAGTTTTGGTCTTCCTACGAAAGCATCTACCTGCCGTAGAGTGAGTGTACACGAGGTTCACTAGGCTGATACCATGGCTGGCAGTAATGTCCTGTGAGGAGAGGTTGGTTTGACTGGAATTGTGTATACTAGAGTTTAGAAGGATTAGCGGAGATCTGGTTGAAATGTATAAAATTGTAATGGAGCTGCACAGACTAGATGCAGGGAGGATGTTTTCCCTGTCTGGGAAGGGATAGAATCAGGGATAATGTCTCAGGCAGGCCATTTAGAACTGAGATGAGGAAAAATTTCCTCACTCAAAGAATTGTTCAACTTGTGATATTCTCTAACATAGAAGGCTCTGGAGGCCAAGTTACTGAATATATTCAAGAAAGAAGTGCATAATTTTTAGGTTTTAAAGGCATCAAAGGGTATGGAAAGTAATTGGGAATATGGCATTGAGATAGAAGATCAGCCATGATCACATTGAATGGTAGGCTTGAAGGGCAGAATGGCCTTATGCTGTTCCTAGTTTCTATGTTTCAGTTTGTATCTCTTTCTGAGACACCTAAAGAAACTGAAAAGTAATTTCCTTGTTATTTAGCTTTCGCTTATAGCAAACATGAGTTCCATAAAATGAGCTTTCTGCAGCCTTGCAGGATTTCTTACTAGACACTTTAACACTCATGTCTGCACTGTCTGGAACACATAAACTGACTCCTTTCTGGAATTTTCTTCACATCTCTGTCCTTGGACCATTGTTGCTGGACAACAGCACAGTTTTTCCTTCTTTTGAAGTTTACTCCAAGGGTTGTAAAACCACATTAAAGATCCATGTGTACAAACAAGCCTCCAGACTCATCAGCACCAAACTCACAAAAACAGCTCTTAAAACTGAAACTAAGGCCATGTCTCCCCCTTTCAATGTGCAAAGTACAAAATATAGATTAAACTTAAAATTATACCTTGATGGGATCTGTTCATAGGAATTGGAATAATGTGGCCAACACGCATGAGAGGAATAGGACTTTGTATCATTGAGGTGACACTTTTATTTCTCCCAACAGATGCTGTCTAACATGATTAGTTACAACACTTTCAATCTTTATTTCAAATATCCAGCATCTTCAACACTTTGCATTTGTCCATGTGATGTTACTGGACAGTTTACCATGACAGCAATGGAACCAGAATGTATGTGTGAAGATCAATAGACCCACATCTCATCACCTCTTCTGTTAAAAAAAAAATCAGTGCTTCTCTGTTCTGCTGTAGCTCTGATAATGAAAACATTCTTGATTGCAAACAAGAAAACCAGAAAGGCACACATCCTTTATGCTTCAATGAATTTTGCTTGCTATTAAAATGTTCTGGTTGTGCAGTGTGCCTTTGTGTGTTGAGGTGTTGAAGGAATGCTCTGGGCAGTACTGGTCTGCTAATCCAAACATGATTCATCCAACCACAAGCAACTTTAAGCCTCAGTGGAGCCTTGTGTCTTTATAATGTGAATTGATTGCAGCCCCAGGTCAGTAAACCCTGCGTGAATTCTCTGTTCCTTGATGTTCCAGGGAAAGTCAGTAAAAGATGTAACACTGAAGTCAAAGTTCTGGTACGATATGCAAGACTCATAATTATTTCCATTTTTATTGTAGGAAGTGGACGCTGTTGATCTTATTCAAGGATTTGCAAGTATTTTTCCATATCAGCGCCCCTCGAGGTGTTTAGCTGAAAAGCATTGATTTACAAGCTCTTCTGTCAGTCTTTATATAGAATTAATGTTGGTTTGTTTAAAACAGCCTGACATAATTTATGCCAATGAATTCTAGATTCTTACACTGGCCTGGAGGAGCCTGGAACTGAATAAACCTGAGTTTCAAGGCAATTATACAGTGAATTGTACATTTACACATTGGTTTACTCAAAAATTTAAGGTTGACCATGGTTTATTGGTATTCACATAGAAGAAAACAGTGTGAGAAACCAGTAACTTACCAGCACACCCATCAACAGTCCCCACTCACTCAAAAACTGACCCCTCAACACAATATTCCATCAGCGACCCATCCACGCCACCACAAACTCTTACACCGTTCCACTGTCAAACTCACTCATCCATCCACACACACACACACACTCATACTATTCCTTCATCACATCCATTGACATATTGGTTCTGAAGGGGGGGGTCACTGGACCAGAAACATTAACTCTGCTTTCTCTCCACAGATGCTGCTAGACTTGCTGAGTTTTTTCAGCAATTTCTGTTTTTGTTTGTGACCCGTCGACACACCCACCATCTCATACATTATACTTTCATCACACTCACTAACCCATCATTACTCCACAAACTCCCTCACACAATTCCATTGTCACACCCACTGACTTCATTGACACACACACTGTCACACAATTTCAGTTACACTCACTGATCGTTTGATCCAACCACTGAACCACTGTCACTCTCTCAGATCTATTTTCACACCCGTTATCTCTCATGCTATCCATCATCACATTCACTGACCTGTTATCACACCCACTAACTCGTACACTATTCCATTGTCATACTCACTGATACATCATTAACTAAGTGACCCAACGTCACACAAACTGATGCACTTACTGAATCACAGTCAGTATGCCTGTGGGTCCGTGTGTCTCACTGACCACAGTCCCATTAACACACCTACTATTTCACCGTTATACCCATTGACCCATCCACTAATTCTCACAATATTCATTTGTCACCGTCACTAATTCAACAACACACCCACTAATTCACACAGTATTCCATCATCATACTCACTGACCCATCGTCACCCCACTAACACACTATTCCATAGTCACACTCACTGACCACAGACACACACACTGACACATTCATTGATGCACACGTACACCCACCTTTGATCACAAGTTCTGCAAGTTAGCACAGTGCAAAGCAAATTTGCAAGTTACCAGCATGAAGCTAGTATTGGGCTGTAGAAACATGCAAACCATCAGGAAGAGCCTTCAAAACATCCCCTAATAATTTTTTTCAAAATCTTTGAAGGTTTAAACTGGATCTGTTTCTGATCAAAGCATTTTTCACTCCGCAGTACCTTAAAAAGGCTTGCTGCAAGTGATGGTATCCGTTTGTTGGCTTGTTGCAAATCAATACCAGAAGGATATCGAAGAAATGTTATGTTCAATTCAGATTGTTACAGCAAAGAGCCAGTAAAGACACAGTAGGCCAAATAGTCGCCTCCTTCATTCAAATTATTTGAGTTTACAATCATTGACATTTGCAAATATAAATTTTCAGTTTCCTAGGAACACCTAGACCAAGCATTTCTGCCAAAATCAATGAATGTGTTAGTTTTGCAGTGATTTTATTTGCTTTAAGTCTCCATTCAAACCCATTTGCATATTATGAAGTGGATAACATCACATTTTGGCACTGTGTCTTCAAATTTGAGGTAAGCTGAAGACTTGTCACATGACTTGTTTTGAAGTTTATCTGACAGCATACCTAAATGGTTTGGTAGAAATCAAAGATGGCAAGATTGTTTTACTGGGAATAAGGTACAAGGTAATTTAAGTTTAGACACAATGGCAACAGCATGCATTAACAGTGGAGAATGAAAGTTTGAGATCCCAGAAACATTTTGAAAACATCAGGTTGTAAACTAATGTTTATTTAGTTCTAAGGTGAAAGAGCATTGGGCTCTGAAGGATAGCCAATTAGCATTTCTACCTTGATACAACATCTAAATGACTCACCTTGTCATGGAGAATGATACAGAGGAATCTGTTCTTATGATCAGGTTACAGGTTTTGTAGATGGTCACTGAATATAGACTGTTTTGAGTCTGTCTGGATCCAAGAAAGTGGGATGAACTAAAAAGCAAGCTATCTCTATGGTTACTGCACAGGTGGCGACTTGTGCTGGGTAGAAAAGACCAAATTTGCGAGGAGTTAAAACAAGAATAGAAGAGTCAACTAGTTTGGGCCAGAAGGAGAAGACGTCCCCAGAGCAAAAAACAGTTTTGGAGCTAAAATTTATCAAGCTGGAAAAGGAGTAACACACTGGAGCAAGAAATCTCTTTAGATTGATTCTGGGAAAATTGAATGTCTACATAAAATGACAGTGTAATATCAAATTAGAGTGTATACTTGTTTGGGCAAAGAAGAATGGTTTTCAAATTCATGGTTTAAATATAAGTTGTATACAAAGGTGGTGTTTAATTTACAGTATTTTTTAATCTTTTGCCAGAGTAAACATCTTAAACCAGGAAATCTTGATATGTCGCTCCTTCAGCTATTAATATTAAGAAAGAATTTTGAACTTCCAATTATGATGCTTGCTATCAGGAAGCTCATGTCACCTTTAAACATTCAGTGAACTTAATCACAAACTTTGGTCTTGAGAGGCCAACAATCAGGTTCCTGATGGTGGAACCAAAGATTCCACCATCTATCACATTGTTACTGGATCAAAACCCTGGAACTCTTCCAAACAACACTAGGTACATCTACAGCAACTTGAACAGCAGCTCAAGAAGCTGGCTCATCACCATCTTAAGGGCAATTAGGAATGGACAATACTGGCCTAGCCAATGGCACTGCAATCTGTGAAAGAATTTTTACAAAACACTATCCAGTTCACCACTTAAGAGAAACCTGGTTTTAAGTAAGTGAAAGTGAGTTTAAATACTATGCAAAATTAAATACTATGCAAAATTATTTACTGGCTTCTGTGTCTCTTAATATTATTTAATTTTAATTTTTTTTTTAAAAAGGTGGTCCTTACACCTAAGAATATCAACTTCATTTTAAAAGCATCCTCAAAAGCCTGAAAATGGGGGGCAGAACTAGCAGAGACCTACTCAGGGTGATTAATTTTGTCTAGGGTCACAGCTGGTTTTGGAGAGGGGACTGGATTCTAATGCTTTGCTTTTTAAACCAGTACAAACAATTGCAGGATATCAGTTTGTGCTGAAGGCAATCTTTGCTCAAAATTTCTGGATCGTTTGCACTGGTTTGGCTGATTTCAGGAGAATTGCACCAGGAAAAGAAAATGAATTAACAGCTGTGAGAACTCCAGGCCCTCATAGGTTCTCACTGCCCTGTACTGAAGTTCATGTTAATTACCTGATTGCATTGTTATTTTTTGGGTGCTGTTGTTCACATTGTATTTGTTAATAATACAAAGTAAACTCTCTTATACAATTCTAATCCTCTAATGACTCAACACACAATACACGTTTATTTGTTGGGTTCACGAAACATGTTTTATGGAATCTTTGAGACAGTAAAAATCTTGGTTCATTATTTTTCGTAAAATTCTCAAAATTGCAAATCAGTATCACGAGTACAAATGGAGCCTGAATGAAATATTTGTTAGTTTACAATAGTTGCAGTGAATAGTCTCCAAGGTTTCACTGTATCAGTTTTTGCTTTCTGGCTCTTTGATTCAGTGGCATTACCAACTCTTCTGAGAGATGTCCAGTATGAGAGACTGGACTGTGCAAATTCTTCACAACTCTCACTAACATCACTCCCTCATTAAACATAATGAATCATAACTATTCAGACAATGGTAACATTATCTCCTAAAATGGAACACAGAGATCAAACATCCTGGAGTTGGTACCAGCAAGATTTACTCAAATGTTCTGCTTAATGATGGCAGCATGGACCCTGGTGCCTCTTGGTTGGGAACAGGAACTCTAAACGTTGGAGCTACTGAGACACACTCGAACAAATTCATTTCTCATCAGATTTCAGCAGCAGAATCCAACTGCTCAAATCACATTTAGACCTTGAGGAAACTGCTAACTTTAAAAATCAGTCAGCACCCCACTGCTAAAGATAACAGGACAAAGGAATACCAAACAAGCTAAATCTTTATCTGATTATAACAACAGCAGGCTCACTATAAACAGCAACACTACAGACGAAATAATGAGTAAGACAATTCATTGTTAACTCATTGTCTGTGCACAGTCCATTGAAATTCTTTTGTTACAGTAATATTGAAAAGTGCAGATACAAATATATAGAAAGACCATAATTAATTAGCAAAATCAGTCTTTGCCAATTGCCCTGAACCAAATATGGCATCAAACACCCGATAATTCACATTAAACCCTTATTCTGCAGTAATTTCCATTTTCATTACTAGACTGTCAAATGATAGGAATAGTTTCTTTACCCTGACTTGTATTTTTCTCTCCTTTTGTTGAGCAGATGCATTTTGTAAAGTGTCCCTATTTCTATATAGGCAATCCCCTAGGACTGCTACATTGTGTTTCCTGATTTTAGTAGAAGGAATATTGATTTTCTACAGCTCGCGATCGATTCCTCAATCCATCACTGTCATGGTAGTCCTCTGAGGTTGATGCTTGAGGCTGTAGTAGACGTTCAGAGTTATTGGTACGAACAGAGATGGCAGCCTCTGATCTGGGGTGTGCCGGATGGGCGTTGGCTGATGTCCCTTCAACCTGGGCAGCAGAATAAGGGCTGCCAGCTACAGAGTTGGCAAAGTAGTGCTGTGATTGATGGGCATCACTTCTGCAGTTCGATTGTGTAGGGGCGGCTGGAAGTGTGGCATGGTGTGAAGGATTCACCTCTGTAAAGAATAACAAAATATGTTTTAAGATTGATTTATTACATAGGGAATCCCCATGAACTTGCAAATATAATCAGCCAAACGATTGTGGGATAGAAATAAAGACTTTTTCAGCTTTTCCCAAAGGCTTTTAGAGTTCCTGCCATGCCGTGAAATTCTGTTTGAACTATCTCCATCTCTTTTTTTGTAAAGATCGCAAAGTAGATGATGAATGCAGCTGATAGATTTACCACTATACCCAACTGCCTATCCAATGACCCCATTTTCCTACACTGGTAGATTACCACAGCTAATAATCACTTTGTGAAGAAATCCTTCCTGATATCGAACCTTACTTTGTTTTTACCACTTTGAAACAATGCTTCCTTTACCCAAATTCATGTAATGATATGAAATGACACTTCAGATAAAAGATTTCCATGCCATTTTGTACTTTTATACATGTCCCCTCACTCGCTTCTCAAAGTCTGCTTCTTTCCTCAGGACCCATCCTTTAACATCCTGTCTTCCAGTGTTTGAAAGCATTCTTTCCTGAAGTGGTGGCTCAAACTCAACTCAGGCCTGACTGGGGCCGAAGCGCTCTATGTTTGGCGACATAGCTCAGCATTCTGTTTTCATTCAAAGCTGTCCTGAAGAGTTGAGAGATGATAGCCTTATGTTACGACATTAACTCCTAATACACCAAGATGATCAAAATGGATTTTGCACTGATACAAACGGCTATTTGTTTCCTATTCTTATAATGTTCCCAAAGTGCAGGTTTGGACCTTGGCTGAAAGCACATGAGAGGAGATGGATACTGGAATGTGTTTGGTTAGTGTTAACAGTAAAAAACAGTTATTTCAGTCTGAGAAAAAGCTGCAATATTGTGTCAAGGAACCTAACAATAAGGCTTTACTCATCTAAGTATTGACGAAGAGTGAGGACTTGAGATGGTGACCAACTAGGCGATATCGACTGAAAAGTAAGAAAATGTAAAGAAAAACAACAGTCGCATTGAGCACGGGTTATTGGAGTATCGTGGAAGTTTTACTGAGATATAAACTAATAGGCGAGAGCCATTGTGGTCTTTAAAGGAAGTCAAATTTGCCCCAATTTGATGTAATTAAATTCTAGGCAGAGAGCTGGAGAGATTCACTGGAATTGACTCTTCAACAACTTGATCAATGACCTGAAAGAAGTCATCAGTAGCCTCCTCTCAGGATTTGCAGACCACAGCTACGCTGGGATGGTTAATAAAGAGAAGCTATAAAAAACAAATTGACTGTTTGGACAGGAGGGTCAAGAATTCACAGATTGCAGCTTAATGTACATGAATAGAGATACAAAAACAGAGAAAGGCATTACAGGGCTGAAGGGAGGATAGGACACCAATCCCACAAGCCACCAAAGCAAAGTCTGTCTGCTGTTCAGAAAACAAGGAGAGAACACCATTGCATAAAATCACAGAATTGATGGTGCCCAGAACGTAGCCATTTGGCCTTTCAATCTGTACTGACCCTCTGAAGGAGCAATTCGTCTGGTGCTACTTCCCTGCCTTCTTCCTATAGCCCTCCACTTCCTACTTTTTCAGGTAAATTTGCCAATTCCCTTTTGAAAGCCTCAGTTGAAGCTGCCTCCATTGCACTGTCAGGCAGCACATTCCTGATCCAAACCACTCACTGTGTAAAAGCATTTCTCCTCATGTCGCTTTTGGTTCTTAAATCTGTGTCCTCTGGTTCTTGATTCTTCCACCAATGGGAACAGTTTCTCCCAATCCCAGACCCCTCATGATTTTGAGCACCTTGATCAAATCTCTCTGCCTCTTCTTCACAAAGGAGAACAGTTCCAACTTTTCCAGTCTAATTATGTAACTCCTTATCACTGGAAACATTCCTGTGAAAGTTTTCTGTACTCTCTCTATTCTCTTCACATCGCTCCTAAAGAGTGGTGTCAAGACCCGGATTCAATAATTCAGCCGAGACCAAACTAATGTCTTATGAAGACTTAAAATAACTTCCTTGTTGTTATGCTCTGCGCCCCTTTTAGTAAAGGCAAGAATACTCTGAATATAGACAGGTTCAGTGAGCAGGCAAAAATTCGGCAGATGGAATATAGTGTGGGGAAAATGTGAGGTTATGCTCTTTGGCGGGAAGAATAGAGGAACTCTACATTGTTTAAATGGAGAAAGACTGCAGAAAGCTATAGGGCAGAGGGATTTGGGAGTCCTTGCATAAATCACAAATAGCATATTAATTCAACAGTAACAGGGAAGACAAATAGACTTATTGGCCTTTATTTTGAAAGGAATGAAGTATAGAAGTAGGGAAGTTTTACTGAAACATGCAAGGCTGGTAACTGAACATTTTTGGGGCTCTTACCCAAGGAAAGATATACTAGCATTGGAAGCAGTCCAGAGAAGGTTCACTAGACTGATCCCAGCTATGGAGGGGCTATCTTATGGGGAGAGATCGAGTAGGTTGGGCTTGTACTCATCGGAGTTTAGAAGAATGAGAGGCACCCTTATTGAAGCATACAAGATTCTTTGGGGATCTTGCAGGTTGAGTCAGTAGTTAGGAAGGCAAATGCAACTTTGGCATTTATTTGGAGAGGACTTCAATATAAAAACAGGGATGTACTTCTGAGGCTCTCTAAGGCTGTGGTCAGGCCACATTTGGAGTACTGTGCGCAGTTTTGGGCCCCATATATCAGGAAGGATGTACTGGCCCTGGAGTGGGTTCAGGAGGTTCACGAGAATGGTCCCAGGAATGAAAAAAAAAAACTTAACATGAGGAATGTTTGAGGACTCAGGGTCTATACTGAGTGGAGTTTAAAAGGATGAGAGAGGATCGAATTGAAACTTACAGAATACTGAATGGCCTGGATAGAGTGGATGTTGGGAAGTTGTTTCCATTAGCAGGAGAGACTAGGACCCGAGGGCCTTAGAGTAAAGGGAAGACCTTTTAGAACGGAGATAAGGAGAAACTTCTTCAGCCAGAGTGTGGTGAATCTATGGAATTCACTGCCATAGAAGGCATTGAGTATATTTAAGACTGAGATAGATAGGTTCTTGATTGTCAAGGGGATCAAGGGTTACGGGGAGAAAGCGGGGGAATGGGGTTGAGAAACTTATCAGCCATGATTGAATGGTGGAGCAGACTCGATAGGCTGAATGGCCTAATTTCTGCACTTACGTCTTATGGTCTTAAATAAACAGAGTTTGTTTCCCTGGTGATAGAGTCTAGGACCAGAGGGCATAATCTGAGAATAAAAGGGTCACCCATTTAAGACAGAGATGAGGAGGTATTTCTTCGGAGGGTGGTGAATTGGTGGAATTCTTTACTGCAGAGGGCTGTTGAGGTTGGATCATTAAGTATCTTCAAGGCTGACATAGACAAATTTTTAATCAGGAACAGAAGAATCAATGATTACGGGCAAAAGACAGAAAAGAGGAGTTGAGGTTTATCAGATCAACCAATGGGCTAAATGGCCTCCTTCTGCTCCTATACTGTATGATCCAAGTTAATAACCATCTCTTAAATGATCCTGCCACCTTCAGTGATTTATGTATATACCCAGGTTCCTCTGCTTCTGCACTGCTTGCAGAATAGTACCCTTTATTTTATAATCGATCCCATGCCCCCCCTCAACATTCTATCAAAATGAATCACTACACATATCTCAGCATTAAATTTCATCTATTTGTCCCCTCATTCTAACATCCTGTCCTGTCTTTCAGAAGTTCTACACTATCCTTCTCAGAGTTCACCATGCTTCCACATTTCATATCATGTGCAAAATTTTAAAATCATGTCCTGTACATCAAAGTCTAAGTTAATTATATGCATCTGGAAGAGAAAGGGCCCTATTACTGACTCCTGGGAACTTCATTACAGCCATCTTCCTGTCTGAAAAACAACCATTCACCACTACTTTTTGTTTCCTGTTGCTCAGCTAATTTCCTATCCGTGTTGCTACTGTCCTTTTTATTCCCTGACCTCCAACTTTGCTCGAGTCTGTTGCTTGGCACATTATCAAATGCCTTTTGGAAATCTACGTATACCACATCAAGAGCATTATCCTCATCAATCCTCTCTGCTACTTCTTCAAAATTAGCTAAACAAGTTAGTTGGTTAATTAAACATAACTTGCTCTTGACAAATCTGTATTGATATTCCATATTTGTCCAAATGACTACCAATTTGGTCCTGAATTCATGTTTTTGAAAGTTTCTCCAATGCTGAGATTAAGTGACTATCTGTACTTGCTAGGCCTATCTTATACTTTTTGTTTTGAACAAGTATATAACATTTGCAATTCTCTAGGCCCTTGACACCATCTATGTCTAAGGATGGCTGGAAAATTATGGTCAGTGACTCCACAATTTCCAATCTTACTTCTCTCAGTATTCTTGGATGCATTACATCTGGCCCTGGTGGCTCACTGACTTTGAAATACACAGACAGACAATCCAATACCTCCTTATCAAATTTAAACTCTTCAAGTATCTGAACTACCTCCCCTTTCTCCATGATCTTTGCAGCATGTGAGGGGCAACGTATTAGTATGTGTGCCACACATTAGTATGCATATTTGCGTGCCACACAACAGCCTGCTGCAGAAGATAAAGGTGCATGGCATTATAGGTAATGTATTAGCTTAGATAGAAGATTAGTTATTTAACAGCAAGCAAAGAGGGTGGATAAATGGGTGTTTTTCTGGTTGGCAATCAGTGGCTAGTGGTATGCCTCAAGGATCAGCGTTGGGACTGCAATTGTTTACAATTTACATAGATGATTTAGGGTTGGGGACCAAGTGTAGTGTGTTAAAGTTCACAGATGTCACTAAAATGAGTGGTATAGCAAAGTATGCAGAGGACGCTTTCTGCAGAGGGGTATAGGTAGGTTAAGTGAATGTGCAAGGATCTGGCAGATGAAGTACAATGTTAGTAAATGTGAGGTCATCCATTTTGGTATGATAACAGTAGAAAGGACTGTTATTTGAACAGTAAAAAATTGCAG